GCCTTTGGGTATCAACCGCCGCTATTCCCGTCCCAGGAGGGGCAGGTGGAGGTTCCATCGGTGCAGTGCCACCTCAAGCGGGCCCATCACGTGTGGAGGGAGACCAGGGCCGCGTTATCCCGCACGGCTTCCAGAAACCGGCAGATCGTGGACCGTAGTCGACGCCCTGCACCGACCTATGAGGTGGGGCAGGAGGTGTGGCTAGCTACAAGGGACCTGCGCTTGGCCGGCACATCTGCCAAGTTGGGGCCGCTTTTCACCGGACCGTTCGTGGTGGACTCCATCGTCAGCCCCGTCGCAGTCAAGCTCCGGTTGCCAGCCACCATGAAGGTTCACCCCGTGTTCCACGTCTCCCTGATCAAGCCGGTGGCGACCAGTCCCTTGGCTCCGTCTCCCACCCCGCCTCCTCCTCCGCGGATCATCGATGGTGACCCTGTGTACACTGTGCGGACCATTCTGGACTCTCGGCGCAGGGGTAAGGGGTTCCAGTATCTGGTCGACTGGGAGGGCTACGGGCCAGAGGATCGGCAATGGGTCCCCAGCTCCTGGATCTTGGATCCGTCCCTTCTGCGGGATTTCCACGCTTCTCACCCGTCTAAACCGGGTAGGCCGCCGGGAGGCGTCCGTTGAGGGTGGGGTACTGTCATGTTCCGTATTTGGCAGCAGGTGGCAGGCGTTCATTCTGCTGCCTGCACACCTGCTGCCTATTTGTCAATGATTACACCTGCTATATCTCAGCACTCCGGCTTCCGACTCATTGCTGGAGTATTGCATGCCGTGCCACTGTTATTGCCCATGCTCATAAACCTTACTCGTATTTAATTGTTGTTTGCTTCACTTTCGTCATCCTATTGGGATTATTTATGAACGCATACTTGACCTAGTAAATTGTCTTATCTTTTTCCTTGCCGTTTTTTGCAAGCGCTTTGTTTTCTCGCGTTACATTATTTCCTGGTTCTCGTTTTGACCAGCGTTTTCTGTTTTCCATTAGACGGAGTTTTCGTTTGTAATAAATATTATTTTTGAGACGAAGGCCTTGTCAGTGTCTGCTACTTCGGGGATCCACTTATTCTCGTTCGCTTTGTTGCGTACGAAGCAGTTCTTTTTTCCTGCCTTGTACGCAACGTGACACTCATACCCTATCTGGGGAGGGGACTACACCTGTTTCCGACTGAGAACCAAGGTCTTAGATTTGGAGATGCTGATTTTCATCCCAAATGCTTCACACACTGCTGCAAACAGCTCCAGTGAGTGTTGGAGTTCACAGCTTGAAGAAGCTAACAGCACCACATCATCTGGAAAAAGCAGAGATGCAATGGCAAGGCCACCAAATTCGACCCCCTTGACAGCTTGGCTGCACCTGTAAATTCTGTCCATAAAGGATATGAACAGAATTTGTGACAAAGGGCAGCCTTGGCAGAGTACACCCCTCATTGGAAACAAATCCAAATTGCTGCGGGAAATGCGGGCTAAACTCTGACACTGGCAGTACAGGGCCCAAACAGCAGCAATCACAGGGTTCAGAAACCACATGCTCCCAATGTACCCCCACTGAACTCCCAGAGGGACACAGTCAAACGCCTACTCAAAGTCCACAAAATACATGTGTATTGGCTGGGCGAAACCCCATAAACCCCCGAGGACCCTGCTGAGGGTATAGATCTTGTCTGTTGTTCTGAAGCCGGAACGAAAACCACGCTTGCTCCTCTGTTTGTACTTTGTTTGAATTCCTTGGATAGTCTTGTGTGCCATAGAACTGGTCTGGTTGTGGGGTAATGAAAACAGATTTTTTAAGATCTTGAAATCAGGTGTCAAGGTGAAAATTGCAGATTTCAGAGGCATTTTATTTTGAAATCGAACATCAGATTTTAATTACGTGTTATAGTTGGATACCCGGGGTGGCCAAATGTTCCCTGGGCCTGCTCTGGTTGTGGGATAATGAAAACTGAATTTTAAATGATTTTTTGAAATCAAGTGTAAAGGTCAAAATGCCAGATATCAGAGGCCTTTTTATTTTGAAACACATCAGATCTTAATTAAAGTATTATGTCTGGATACTTGGGGGTGGATTAGTGTGCCTTAGACCTGGTCTGGTTGCAGGATAACAAAACCCGAATTTTTAATGATTTTTTTGGAAAACAGGTGTTAAGGTCAAAATGTTAGATTTCAGAGGCCTTTTATTTTGAAATGCAGCATTTGATCCGACTGAAAGTACTGTGGTTGGATGCCTGGGGTGGCCTCGTGTTCCCTAAATGTCGTATGGTTCCAGGATAACGAAAAAAAAAATTTTTGTGATTTTTTTTTAAAAATCAGGTGAAATGTTAGTCATTGATGTAGAGTGAACATCAACTACTCAACAAGAGTGAACATCTGAACTTCAGAACGCTTCTTGGTGCTATTCTGAGACAGTTTTCATTCTCCTTGGGTGAACTCATCGTTGTCTGACCGCTAAGAAATTATTTTAAATACAAACCAGTGACGTGTATGCATTCATTGGATAAGTTTTATTTTGAAGGTGGCCAACGCAGCTCGCTCGCGACAGATTACCGTAATGCGGCTGGTTTGACTTCAATTTTGCGAGTGGAGGCTGATCTGACCGCAGCGCTCCACTGATGTTGACTGTGGGGTTTATATTATGCTTCTAAACAAAATAATTTTAATCCAAACCACAATCCGCCGCTGTTAAAAATTACTATTATTATAACATGATTGACGCTTGCTATTGGTCTTTTTTTTTTCTTTTCACAATCAGAAATTGTTGGTCCCACAAAACTATTAAAGAGCGTCTTCTCCGGTGAAAGACAAAGACAAAGCAGGTGCGAAGACTTTGTATTTCGAGTGCCAACTAAATACAACAATGTCATTCATACGCTACCTGGAAACAATAGTCCCGCAGTTGCTCCAACACACGTTCGTCTTCCACCTGTCCCCGGCATCAACGTCAGTGAACTGGGCTGCTCCTTGTCAGGGCAGTTGAAGCGCTCGTGCATTTGCAACAAGAATGCAGCTTGCTGTGATCTCTGAATTGACAGAAAGTGGATCACTACAATAGCGTTCACATTAGGCAGATGAGCATTAACATCTAGCTTTGTCGCCGCTGTAAGCAGGTAAGGGTTCGAAATCTGGGCCTGTAGCGGACATTTGGTTCAGTCTTGTATTTCATTTTTTGTGGCTTTTTTGACAGTCAAGCACACAACATGACAGTACCCGAGGTGACGTCTTTGTTTTTCTTCGTAAATGTTCGAGTTCTCCTTCTGTCAAAGAGAGCGAGGCTGCCCCCAATGTTCAGATTGAGTCACCGCAGCTGAATTCAACAGAAAAAGATGACAACTTTGTGTTGCCAAACGCTGGTTAAATGGTCGGTATTCCTAAATGTTATTTGAAAACGTGCTGTCGTCACTGTAATTCTTTACACTTAACTGTATTCCTTGAAAGAAATTGTGCAACCACAGATTTTGACCAAGTCCCGCCACTGGATATTTGTGTTTCATTGTATTTATTTATTGATTTGTTCTGAGTTTAATTTTTTGGGTGTTCTTTACATATGTATTTTTTGAACAAATGGGAAATTGGCCATTATTTTCATGTGATTTACTGGAAAACGCTATACTAGGATATATAGGCGATCAAAGGAGAAGTTATTTTCTTCGCAATATATGTACAGATGATCCCTGCTATTAGCGGGGAATAGCGATCAAGGTGGCCCACAAATTGCAAAAATATGCATAGTAGTGTTTCACGGATCTCATAAATTTCATCTTTTAACATCATGAAGGCATAAATACTCTTCTGAGCAAATATGAAGTAGACCGGGTTATCAGCAGAGAAAAACGTGAAAGAATAAAATATGTATTTCCTGTCAAGATTTTTTTTCCCCATTGTTGTCCTAGGTCTGAAGACAGTATAACCGAACTTTGAAATAAATGAATCCTCCAGGACAAGGATGCAAATTATAAATGTGCAAAATGGGCCACAATTGGACATTAAAAAACTTATCGGTCACTTCCTGTTCATTTTAGACTGTGGCTTTATGGGATTTTTGGAAACATCTCCGGGTGCTTCATATGCCAGCCAATTTTCGTCAGCCTTGGTCAAATGTACCAGGATTAGTTTTTAATTTTCCTTTCTACGTGGTATTTGTTTTCATCATTTATGGCAAATATAAAACATGACATTTTTCACCAGGGCCAATAAGTGTGCAAATTTTATTGCGTTTTTGTGCATGTTGAGCTCTGCAAAAATGCGATTTGTCAAGTACAACTTTATTGTCAAATGCGCTGTATTTGCAACATACAGCACAGATGAAATTTCTTCCCTCTCAACCAGACAAACAAGACAATAAAAGGATTTTTTTTAAGATTAATTTTTTTGAACAACCCCCCCCCATAATAATAATCATAATAATAATTTCTACAAAAACAGGGACCTCACAGCGGTCACTACTCAAGCCCTTTTGATCACGGCGTAATCAGCTCCTGCCCTCTGGTCTTTCTCAGCCCACAAGCCGCCAAGTTATGGAGTAATTGTAGGTTCAGGACACTGTGGTAACTTGAGAAATTCAACTTAACTTTGCTGTATGTTTGTGTTGTTCACAGATGATCAGAAAACACGCATACGAACATGCAAGGAGAGATGTTAGAGTTAAACGTGTGTGCAGTGTTGTGCATCTAAATACCTTTCTCAAGGGCATCTCGACAGTAATCATTTGGCAGTACTACATCTCTCCAACTACACTTAGCTGCCATTTTACATTTGTAAACAGCGTGACTCGAACAGAGATTCTGTGGTTGCAAAGTCCAAACTTTTACAGAAGAGCTACTTTGTGGTTGACATATTATCTATCCATTGATACTTTGTAAAGTCAAGGTGCTTGAGAGCATATGCACTGGTGCAGTACAAGATTACATTGTTTGTAACAAGTCAGTCTCATCTCTGAGGTGATAGACAAGACATAGAGATATGTAAGGTTCTAACCGGAACCACATAGACCACACAGAAAATGAGGATGTATAAAATTCTCTGATTTATTTTGAAAAATGAATGCCAAATGTTGTCTGTCTGGGCAATGCAGACATCAATTGTGAAATCTTTTGTGAATGAAAAAAACTGTCGACTCAACAAAATTGATGGTGTATTCCATTCCACCATTGAGGTGCCATTTACAGATAAAAGCTATTACCAATACCCATTGTTGAAAAATTCATCCTCTATAACACAGGTGTAAACTTCAATGCCCGGGGGCCGTTACATAATTTTCTGTGGACCGCGAAAGCAAATCAGTCACGAATCAGTCACGTCAACTTGGATGATGCTTGCTAATGTCTGAACAAAAATTTCAAACTGTCTTATGTACCAAATACTGTAGCAATGCAAGTATTTTCACTCAATGTGAATAAGAAGGTTCATTGCACTGTAGATCTGATACACATATTAAAATCGTCGTGACATGATGTAAGACATATTCAAAGCAATCTATGTTTTCATGTCCAATCAACTCAATCACTCATCCAAGGCCATCATTGAAAGAGTACTAAAACAAGGCATATTAGTAAAATGAGTGAAAGACAATGTGTTCAACAGACACAACACAATATCAAAATCAGTAGAAAACTGGACACATTGGCTCAGCATCAGTACTCAATGGTCACCGCCTTAGTCTTCAGGTATTCACTGAGTGCCTCTTGGCCTGATGGGAGTATCACAGACAAAAGGTAAGTGTGGATTTTATCCTTGACAAAAAATTTATTAAGGATTTGACATGAGTAAAAACATGTGCGGTGAGTAATTTGCTGCTCATTGAAGTGAGTACAAAACGGCGGCATGATTTTTTTGTGAAATATTCCGCAACAGTCATATGAATTCAGAATTTTTGTGCAGCTTTCAAGACATCGTTTAGTCCCAGATTTTGGCTGAATTCCAATGTCGATGAGCATGGCTGCCCCTGACCAAATTCGGGCACTAAGTGAAATGAGATAAACGGTATTCTTCATCAAAATAAATCAGTTATAATACTGAAACGAGAGGTGCGAGTATTAAGAGACTAGCAAATTAATCAATACCGGTATTAATTTTTGGACAATCGATTGTTTCAATACTTTTTTAAATTAAAAATTCACCCAATCCTCAGAATTTCAGCTTCCCAACCGTAAAGATGTGTCAAGGTTTCGGACGAGCCGAAATAAGTTTGGATCCCAAAAGTGTAGACTCCAACAAGGTACAAAAATGTTTAATACAAAAATTCGCACCGACAAAGTAGAACATAAAGCCCTGGTCCAAACAAGGACCAGGAAGAACAGAATAAAAACGAATAACAAAAAGCGCTTGCCAAAAAAAGGCAAGAGAGGAAAACTAGTACCGAGAATACAAACGAAAAACAATGTAACAACTACACGCAAGAAAAAGCCAATTCACAAAACAAAGCCATAAGAACAAGAACAATGTTACCGGGAGTATCCAAAAGCGTGTACACTGTACACGACGATGTCTATAGCAAAAGTGGTCAGAGGGCATGGAAACAGCAAGGCAATAACAATACTCCGACACAGGTGAGCTGAAGCAGAGTCCTTAAATACATGGTCCCATAATGACTGGATTGGCAGCAGGTGTGCACAGAAGACCGCACATGCCACCTGCTGGTCAGACCAGAAACCGAATCGTGACAAGATGCTCATAATTCCATTGTCTTCCATGATAGGGGACTGTTATCTCTGTGTTGAATCAAAATAAAATGTTTCCTTTTACTTTGGAAAACAATAATCAACATTTTTGCCAATTTTCTGGCAAGCCAGCAACTGAATAGCACTTTTGCATTCTGCACTGTTAAATTGAAATTGTGACCTGTATTTGAATAAAGGGATGGAAATTAAAATATGATTTTTTTTTCATCCAATTCATTGATTTATCAAGAAAATAACTGACATATTAATGGATTATTAAAATAATTGTTAGTTGCAGCTATAATTGAAATACAAGTTTTCAAGTATTCTTACCCAGGTCTTTACCAAAGCCAGACTGTTTGAAGCCTCCAAACGGTGAAGCCACATCTGTTTTATTGTAGGTGTTGACAAAGACTGTACCAGCATTGAGTTTTTCGCTGACATACAGAGCTTTGTTAATGTCCCGTGTAAAAACACCTGAGGCAAGGCCATACTCTGTAGTGTTCGCTCTTCTCAGGACATCATCGACGTCACTAAAACAGGGACAAAAAATGGGTGAAGCAGGAATTATGATGAAAACACTACTCATTTCTAGGAGTTAAGTAATCTGTTTCCCATGGGATCACCACCTATGGAAGGGACCGGAGAGGTCGGGTGCACTGTGAGCTGGGTGTTGGCCAAAGTCGAGGACCTTGATGGTCCCATTTCTAGCTTCACCAACTGGCTCTAGGGGTGTGGAATGTCACCTCTCTGGCAGAGAATGAGTCCGAGCTGGTGTGCTTGAGGAAGCAGAGTCTGGGCACCCTGAGGCCAACACTCCTATCTCTGGGGTTTAAGCCACTGATGGGTTAAAAATTCCTTGGTGGCAAATCCCCAGCAGTGAATATCAGCGGTCCGTAGTTTGTAAAGGCTCTGGATGCTGGATCCTGGTTGATATGCCTCTAAAACAGTGGTGGGCAAACTGAGGCCCGCAGGCTGGATCCGGCCCATTGGTCTTTTTAATCCGGCCCGCCGAAGACTGGTACACAATTATGTTTCGATGTGAATGATTGAATTCATTTCATTTGGACTTGTAATGAAAGCGGGTTACAAAGTACAAAACATTCAGAAAACGCTTGGAGTCGGACAGACTCAAATCTACGACACTTTGAAAAACAAGCGATTCTTGCTCAGTTCTGGCAATTTCCCTGCTCAGAGTGAATCGCTTGCTGCTCGACGGACAGTCGAGTAAATGAACATTTCCTGGAATGGTTTGACTGTTATCGTGCTAAAAACCTTCCGACTGCTAATAAGAGAGAAGGCAAGCTCCAAAGCGCTAACTTTGAGCGTCGAGGACTTCGACGCGTCCCATGGCTGGCTTCAAAAGTTCGTTGCACCACATCAGCTAAGCAACGCTGTCATGTGTGGTGATCGAGGGGAGGTAAAGTTAGAGACAGTGAGTGAGTGGAAAGAAAAGCTACCAGGTCGGTTACTACTCATCTCATTTTGTAGCAAATAGTCCTATGCCTGTACTGTATGCCGCAGTTTTTGTGTTATAAACTGTTTTGCGGCAATGTATTGTTGCAATTTGTTGCTTGTGTTGTCACACATTTATGTTGTTAACATACTTGGACGTTCAAACAGGACATATATCATAGTTATTTCCCACATATGGAAATTCTGTTATAAGGAAAGATTGGACACTGCAAATATCATTCCTTACTAGAAAATACTGTATCGCTCTACTTCTACTGGTCAGATCACAACCCATCTGCAGCAATGCATTGGCTAAAATAGGTGATTAACAACACTGTTCTCATGAAAAAAAGTATGTTAATATTTTAATGCTTTTGTTTTGTTGATGTTTGATATGGACTGTCAAAAATGCAGTTGTTTATATGTGCCATATTTTGTGCTGACCCGGCCCATCAGTCAAACTTTAAAAGTCAAGGTGGCGCCCGAGCCAAAAAGTTTGCCCACCCCTGATCTCAATCATTGTGAGGACATTGGAGACAGTGCCTCTGGATTAGCAGTGGTGCTCCTCCTTTTTAAGAAGAGGGACAGAGGGTCTGTTCCAACTACAGGGGGCTCACACTCCTCAGCCTCCCTCAGCCTTTATTCAGGGCTGCAGGAGAGGAGGGTCCGTCGGGAGGATTAGAGTGAGGTCGAAACTCAGATTCAGGAAGTGGCATGTGGTTGTCATCCTAGCTGTGGAAGAGGGGACCTGCTCTCACCATCAGGAGGGTTTTTGAGGGTGAATGGGCGGTTGCACTTGTCATGTGAAAGCCCGGGAGCCGCATTGAACTAGCCAAAGAGACGCATGCGGCTCGCGAGCCACGGGTTGGCCTCCCCTGCTCTGGAAGAATTAGATGAAGTGGCTGGGAGAGGACTGTCTGGTGTTCCCAGCTAAAATGATGCCTCCATGACCCAAACCCATATAAATGGTAAAAAAAATGGATGGATGAAATAATCTGTGATGACAACCTACCCGCTCTTAAATTTAGAAATGATCATGACAGGCCCAAACGACTCCTCTTGAGCGATATACATGTGGTCTTGCACGTCGGTGAATACAGTAGGTTCAAAGAAGAAACCTGCCAAATGAAAGTGGAACATTTAAATATATACATGTACATTTGCAGCAATGTTACCTGTTTAGTTGAAAACATCCAAGGCTAAAAAGCAGTACAGGCTGGGACTTACCTGGCCTCTCTATCTGTTTGCCACCATAGACCAGGGTGGCTCCCTCTTTGACACCAGTCTGACAAAACTTCACCAATTTGTCTAAATGGGCTTTGTGGTTTTGAGGGCCATGATCTGTGGAGCGGTCCAGTGGATCACCAATCTTTATTTTCTGAATCTCTTCAACCTATCAGACAAGTATTTTGATGTGACTTTATTTGTATTTCGTTTCAGCTGGTCTTTTGACTCCAGTAAGTCTTTATTTTAGAAGAACAAGATATCTGAACAGCTTACGATGCTATTTGGGGGACAAAAACAACAAAAAAAACCCCAATAAACAATACACATTCATTCATTCATTCATTCATTCATTTTCCGAACCGCCTTATCCTCACTCGGGTCGCGCGGGGTGCTGGAACCTATCCGAGCTGTCCTCGAGCAGTAGGAGGGGGACACCCTGAACCGGTTGCCAGCCAATCGCAGGTCACACAGAATCGAACACCCATTTGCACTCACACTCACACCTAGGGACAATTTGGAGTGTTCAATCAGCCTGCCATGCATGTTTTTTGGAATGTGGGAGGAAACCGAAGTCCCTGGAGAAAACCCACGCAGGCCCGGGGAGAACATGCAAACTCCACACAGGGAGGCCATAGCTGGAATTGAACCTGATACTTCTGCACTGTGAAGTCAACGTGCTAACCACTGGACTACCGGGCCACCCCAGAACCCATACACATACAACACAAATCTGAAATTAGAAAAAGCAAGTGTGATTCTGACAAAACACATACCACTTTCTTCACGAACTGGTCATGTATAGTGTCTTCCACAAACAGTCTCCCAGCAGCTATACAGTTTTCTCCCTTGTTGAAAAACACTGAACTCATGCCCTGAAATACAAGTCACCCAATAGTTTTATCACTGTACTGTGTGCTGCAAAAATTACAAACGTACATACCATGCGCAAAGCCTTCTCCATGTCACAGTCACTGAAGATGATGAGAGGGGATTTTCCTCCGAGCTCCAATGACACTTTTTTAACATTACTGATTGCACAGCTTTTGACGGACAGCAATCAAAACATATAAAAAGGTTGTAAAATTTCTTCATTATTTGATGGGTTTGCAAATTCGGTCAGACCTCTTACCTTTTCATGATGTGTTTCCCAACTTCTGTGGAACCCGTGAACCCCAGTTTTCGGACGTCAGGATGGTCAGAAAGGCACTGACCCACGAGAGTGCCTATATTTATTAAAAAAAAAAATGTTTCTATTGTCTTACTTAATAATAATAATAAGAATAATGCATTTTATTTAAAAGCGCCTTTCATGCCACCCAAGGACACTGTACAGACAATAAGAAAATACAATGTAAAAATTTGTAACCGAGATCTTATATAAAAAACAGGACATAAAATCATAAAAACATAGGGAATGGAAGAGCTATGTGTTGTAGGCAATCCTGAACAGGTGTGTTTTTAGACGGGACTTGTAAGTGGAGAGAGATGTGCAGTTTTGGAGGTCCGGAGGTAGATTGTGCCAAAGCTTTGGAGCAGCGCGACTGAAGGCTCCCGCTCCTATGGTGCTCAGGCGGGCAG